TCACTTTTCCCCCCTCTAATAGCACTCTGATTTTAGCTGGCGAAAAATTATTCATTATTGTATACAGAATGTTTTGTTGTTTCATGGTTTGGTTCGAATGAACCATAATATACACACTACATCGTCCTTGGTTGAACGTATAAATTATAATGAAAATGCCAAAAGAGAGTGAGGTTATCCTACAAATATGTTTTTAGAAAAAATATTAAAAAATTGTGCATTGCCCAAAAAGATACATTTCCATAGCTTGTATTCACGTTCAAGTGAAAAACATAAGACTGTCGTGAAAAGTAATATATAGTAAAAAATATCACTAAAATCAGAATAAGCAAGTAAGTCTTGCATATTTTAAAGTTGAAATTATTTTAATATCTCATGAGCAACAAATTTAAATCACAATTTAAACCTTTTGATTGTTTAAAATAGAACAAAAATAAAGAAAAAACATGAATGAAAAAGAAATTATAAGATGCAATGTCATTGGGCCCGTGCATAGCATCGGCCAGCATTTACTATATATATATATATATATATATATATATATATATATATATATATATATATATATATATCTTTTCATTAACAATAAAATACATTTTTTAAAAAGTATCATAAAATGAAATTGCAGACAAATCAATTTTGCTTGAATCAAGATGTTGTATTAATATAACATATAAATTTTAAACAGTAATACGATGATTCTATCCGAAACGCGACAAAGAAACGGAAACAAAAAATAGAAAAAGAAGAAGTGCATGAATCACGTGCATGCAGTGTACGTTCCGACGCCTTAGCTTCAAACTCAAGTGGGCCCTATATGCCAGACTAATTAAGTAAAAATTGTGTTGGGTAGTCACTATTTAAAGTGGTATTTACTTTTTATCCACCATTTTTAATGCTGAGCAAAACTAGCCACTGGTCTATTAAAATTAATATGAAAAGACTGAGTTACCCTTTCTTCCATTGCTTTTCTTCCCAAACGCTTCTCTCCCTCTCAGTTCGATGCATGCCTGTGTTCATAGATAAGCCTTGTAACTTTGAAAATCACCTGCCTACTTGCAATGGCGATTTCTAATTCAACAAGGTCAACATCATTATATTAGTGTTAAATTTCCTGAAGTATACGCCATTCTTCTTGCCAGTAGAATCATCTTCATCATCGACAGTAGTGTAAAAATGTTAAGTATATATCCTGATGCATTGAATTTGGACTTTGAAGTTCTGTATTTGTTTTACACGATTAATCCCTTTTTTTTAATGTATTTTTTTGGGTTTAAATCACGTTTTATAAAAAGAACAAGAAAAAAAAAGCAATCGCGAGAAGATCAACCGATGTACTTTTACTTGAATTCTTCGGAGAACGCATTGAATGAGTTCGAAAACGTAAAGTTGAAAAAGCGTCGAAACGTAACTAAATATAATATAATTTTAATTTTATTACACAATTGTACGCTATTATCCTTATTGTGTGTTTGCATTTAATTTATTTTGTGTTAAAATAAATTAAAAGTTAAGGACAATAGGTCCTGAACTTAGGCTAAGAAGCCCAAAAGTTAAGGACAGACAGTCCTTAACTTACAGTTACAAGTTCAAATGTTAAGGACAATAGGTCCTTAACTTTGATTTTCAAGTTCAAAAGTTAAGGACAATAGGTCCTTAACTTTGATTACCAAGTTCAAAAGTTAAGGACAGACAGTCCTTAACTTACAGTTACACATTCAAAAGTTAAGGACAGACAGTCCTTAACTTACAGTTACACATTCAAAAGTTAAGGACAAGCAGTCCTTAACTTACAGTTACAAGTTCAAAAGTTAAGGACAGACAGTCCTTAACTTACAGTTACACGTTCAAAAGTTAAGGACAATAGGTCCTTAACTTTGACTTACAAGTTCAAAAGTTAAGGACGCTTGGTCTTGAAGTTTGAGTTCCAAGTTCAAAAGTTAAGGACATGTAAGCTTGAAGTCCTGAACTTAGAGTTCCAAGTTCAAAAGTTAAGGACATGTAGTCCTGAAGTCCTGAACTTAGAGTTACAGGTTAAAAAGTTAAGGACATGTAGTCTTGAAGTCCTGAACTTAGATTCAAGTTCAAAAGTTAAGGACATGTAGTCCTGAAGTTCTGAAGTTAAGGACATGAGCATAAAGGTATTTTCGTCCGGCAGTTAAAGTTTATTAAACCAGTGACTAAAGACTAAAGACATTTAAAACACTGGCTTTAAAATAAAGACATGAGCTGTTAGTGGCTATTTGTGCACATCGCCCTTAATCCAATGGTAACTCTGTAGTAAAAGTTAAATATACTGTTCTGGTGGATGTACTATGGGGACATCTAATTGCAATTATTAATTAGATTTTAATTACCTGAATAATGTGAAGGGACATTAAAAATTATATCACCCAACTTTAAGTAGGCCACAAAGAGTTTCCAGTATAGTAAGAGAGGAACTACAATTATTAAATTAAGCCGTAAAGGAGATTGCTCAAAAGTTACGATCCTATCTTTTGGCTTAGGATTTATTATATAAATATAGTAGTTAATTAATTGTGTCCTTCTCAAATAATACTTCCTCCGGTCCACTATATTATGTATTTTTTTGGTTTTTTTTTTACATATTAAAAAATTTACCTTTTAGCATTAACTAATAATGAAACTGGCCATACCTTAATTTGCTCGTTGGGAATATAACAAACTACTCCTAAGCTCTTTAATCCAAAGGCAAATTTGGAAAGAAGAAATTAATTCCTTTTTAATATCTGAAAAAATCAAATATTGTGGACCACAAAAAAAGCCAAAAATTACTTAAAGTGGACCGGAGGGAGTGTCAGACATGGTCATGAATTCATGATTAATGTAACATAATTAGGTTGTCTCACAAATCCTGGACGTTTCTAAGTTTAAATATAACTTTGGTTATTAGTTCATGAAAAAGAATTACTAAAAAGAAAAAAGGTAAGATTTATATAATCATTAAAAATGGAAAATCACTACAATGATGGTACTTCACATGTAAAATATGTTAGCTTAATTTGACTTTTAGCAGTACAAAATGAAAAAGGAATAAAAGTAAGGCAGAAAAATTTCCACAGTTAAACTTTTTATTTTGCGAAAAGGACAGTGTACAAAGCAAAATTTTCTCCTAAAAAAAGATCATTATTGTCGATAGAATTTCAGGAAATAAAACCTTCTCATTTTTTAGATAAAGAGGTGTCAATTGATATTTCTTCACTTGAAAACTACTGTTTTGTTAAGTATATTTTTTATTTATACATATTATATGTTGAATTCGATTATTTTGACTTTTTAGTATTTTTTAAAAAAAAAATTCTGATTATCTTTAACCATGGCAAACAGTATGCTTCAATAGCTGAATACTTCTAGCCACTAATTTATAGTATTTCTTTAAATTCTTTCAAGATAGATAATCCTTTCTTTTCTCTTGTTTCTAAATGCGTCGTACAATGTCATTTCTTGTCCTTTCTATTTTGTTTCTTTGGTCAGAGTTCTACATAATTTACCACGTGAAAAAATATTTCGACTACAACTGTATATTGATCATGTACTGTATCAATCAGAGGCTAAAGTCACGTGAGATAAGTCCTATTCCATGCTACACACATGCCAAAGGAAAATAAAGCTGAAAGGAATTTATAAACAAAAAGAGCTCAATTCTCTTCTAAAGAGCAATACCATTTTGACATTGAAAGGAAAAAGAAAAAAAAGTTTTACGTACGTATACCTGTGTGTGTTTTTATAAAGAGCGAAAAACCCCTCTAAATTATCATGTTTTTGTTAGTTACCTATTTAGACTATTTAAATTATCCGCTGTCCTCAAAATCCCCCTTAACTATATACCCATATATAGATAAAAAACTCGTCGATTTTTTAGTGGTGAATGTGATACACCCATCTATTTACTCACCCTAATCTAAATATCAATTTAATTAAGAATTTTAACTAATGAAAGAAAACAATTAAATGGTAAATGTTTGTGTGGTTAAAAATCAAAGAAAGAGGATGAAGGGATAAATACATGGTCATTTGTAAAAAAAAAAAAAAAAAAAGAAAAAAAAAAAACCTCTTCCATCTCCTCCGTTAATGGCTACACCATGTTTCAATCTTGATTTTCCCATTAACCTTCTTTTGCACTAGAAATTTTAGTTAATACGAGATTTGGGATTTAAAAAATTAGGGTTTGGTCAATTTTTCAGTTAGACTTTGGTAAAAATTATGGGCTTTGGCGGACTATAGTGTTGAAAGAAGAAGATCTAATTGAAGAAGAAAGATAATTTTAGAAGAAACAAGAGAGAAAAAAAATCAGATGAAACCCCTAAGAAGAAAGTAAGAAAAGAGATTAAAAAATAATGAAGAAGAATGCTAGAATATAAAGAAAATAGAGGGAAAATAGAAAAATTAATTTTTTAAAAGAGGGTAACAGTAATAAACCATTAGACATGGACAATTAGGGCCATTCTAATGTATAATTTCATCTCTCACACGTCTTTTGGCGAGTTACCTTACATATTTTATTAAAAATGGACAAAAGAATTTTTAATATATAGGGGGATATAATTAAATAGAGTTTCGGAGACACCGAATAGTTTAAGTATGTAACTGACAAAAACGTAATATTTTAAGGTATTCACTCTTTTATAAAATGTCATAAGAAAACTGTATCAGATCACCTCATTTTTATGGTTAATCATGATAAACGGATATAGCGTGGCGCAAATACATGTATAAATATATATTTTTAAATAAAAATAGTAAGTAATAATTATTTTACTGTTTAAATTATCAACCTTCCTCTATATTTGCTTTCTAATATTTTTCTTAGATTTGAATTTTTCCTTATTGACAACCTAGCTAGTTCCAATGTCCGTGTGCATTCGAATAAAAGATAAAAAATAATAGTAGTAATTATCAATCTTTTCTGAAACAAAACAGCGAGTACAATTGGAATATTTGTACCATATATTTTTAAAAATGCAATGTATAAATTATCCTTTTAGATTGTAAAAGTAATGACTAACATTCAATGATCATTCAACTAATCATGATTTATTGTCACAAAACTTTTGGTCACTAGCTTTAAAAATTAGCTTCCCGTGCTCTCAATTATTGTACACCAAAAAAGGCAACAAAAAAAGAAAATGTTTATTCCTTTTTGGACTCATAATTCAGGCAATTCTAACATCAACTCATTGGCTGTTGAAAAAAGATCATCCCAAAACCAGTTATCATTCAAGCTAGAATTAAGCTCGTAATTTTCCTCCAATGAAGAAAATGACAAATCTGAAAGATTATAGTCATTAGTTTCAGCTGGTGCCCATAGTACCTCGGACCAAAAATTGTCGTCAACTTCAAGCAAATTGTCCAACAGTATTTGATCTCTTGATTCATCAGCAAGAGAACTCGTACTCATACTCGTAGCAGTTGTGTTTGAACATGAATCTCCACTAAACGATGTTGACGACGAAGAATTTGGGTGTTGTTGAATCTGGAAGTTTGTTTTAGGACTTGATATTTCCTCAGAATTTTCGGGCTCTGATGAATGTGTGACCAAATTTTCCTCGGATTTTGATGTTTCCATGGTTTGTTGATCTTGTATCTCTTGAGTTTGTTGAGGTTGAGATTTATCATCCGCTCTCTTCTTCAAACGAGTATGCCAAATGTTTTTTATTTCATTATCTGTTCGTCCCGGTAACCTTGCTGCAATTCCAGACCACCTGCAAATTAATTATTCTATTAAAATCAAACAATTTTTATTGTACGCAAAAACTTGTATAGGCAGTCGGTTTATTATATTACCGATTTTTATTTCTATTTTTGTAAATAAGTTTTGGATTTAAGAGAATACCAAAATTATTAATTTTCAAACTCATATTTAGAGAAACGCAAGATCTTGAGCTTTTTAAGTTAAAATTTTGGATCTACCCGATTGTTTTTTCTAAGTTAATTAGAGATCAACTCCTGCCATTTCTCTAGCTTACCGCCTTTGGCAAATGACAAAATGCGGGCAAAAAAATAAATACGAACCTATTTCCAAGAACTTGATGCAACTTGATAATGGTGTTTTCTTCTTCAGGAGTAAAGTTCCCTCTCTTAATATCAGGTCGCAAATAATTAGTCCATCGGAGACGACAACTTTTTCCGCACCTTAACAGACCTAAAATAAGAACAATGCAGCGTTCAAGATTTAAACTTGACGCGCAACAAAATATTTTTATATTATTGTCCTTTGTCATTGTTGCCCTTCGTCTTGATTTACAAGACGAAAGGCAATAATGTGGTCAGGACCATGACATAATACTAAATTGATTTATGTTTTTAATTACCTGCAAGTTTGGGAAGTGCACGCCAATTAGGGTGGCCATTTTTATTAATATAATTGATGAGTAAGTCATCTTCTTCTTTGCTCCAAGGACCTCTCTTTAATCCAAGCTTTTCACAGCAAGGAGCTCTGCCCATTTTCTCTCACTGTTTTCTCTCTCTCTCTCTCTATTTTCTGTGTTTTTCTCAGTTTGCTTTTTCACTTGGAATTTGAAGTTGGTAATAGCGACGATGTAGTTCTGGTATTAATACTAGTCTGTGGGAGGTCTGTAAAAAGGATTTGTACAACTGTAGTAATATTCCGTTCCAAAAAACGCATGATTCTTTCGTGCGTTGACGATCCTGACCCGAGGCGGGCCTATGCTTGGGAGAAAGGGGATTATTAGATTGGCTAACTGCGGCAAAATTTTTAATATATATATATATATATATATGTTGAAAGCGATCATATATTTTAATTGAATCCCTTAATTAAAATCAAAAACCGATGGAAGTACTGGTTGAACAGTCAGATCATGTGCCCGCCACCTTTAAATTCTGGATCCGGTACTCAGATAGTGGCAGAGGCAGGATTTCCACTATGGGAGTTCAAAAAAGAAAAAAAATTATTGTAGCTAATGGGAATGGAACCAATGACCATACAAAGGTTTTGAACCCCATTCAGTACTAAACCATGCTTTTGGGTTGCATCAAGGGGATTCAAAACATAATATATATAGAGGTAAAAAATAAATTTTGCCTTATATACAGTGTAATTTTTCGACGAATGGGAGTTCGAGTCCGCCCCCACCCCCTAAATCCGCCCCTGTAACTCCAACCTCACTCAAGAAAACACATAGAATGAGAGTAGGGCTCAGTTTGTCTTGATCATGACAAATTAATGTCTGGAAAATGAATTAATTACTAAAATGTTGTATTCACACATCTTTATCTAATTTATTGTATGATATATGAAATTTTTAGTAGGAGAATTATTTGGTTGTACGGACGACAAGTAAATCCGATTTGGACTCAGTTCTGTCTATAATTCGATTTAGCTTTGTCGCCACTCGACTTATGTCATGCCGTTAATTATAGAGTTATATAATTTTGTTAATACAATTTTTGTAAATTTCTTACGTCCTTTGTTTTAATTTATGTAACTTGGTTTGATTGGATACGGGGTTTAAGAAAATATTGAAGAATTTTAAATTTTATAGTTTTAAACTAAAAATGTGTACAATATACTAAAATGTGCTTGAATCTTAAATATGTCTTAAATATGCCATATAAAAAGTTGGAGTTAATTAAAGATTTAGTATAATAAAATATAGAAAGATGTATTTTTTTTAAACAGACTAAAAAAAGACACATAAATTAAAATAGGAGTAATTACAATCTTTTATGACTTATATATGGCACATTTATTTAGTCTCTTAAAATATAAATTTAGCTTGAAAAACTAAAATTGGATGTTTACATAGGCTTATGGACAATATTTGAATTAACAGTGAAATATTTTCGTTAAAGTCGAATATTTGTGAGCAAAAACTATCATTTTACTTGAAATTGTGTCTTCAAATTGGCCAAATACAACCCTTAAAAGTTGATATCATTTTTCATTAAACACTTAATTGAGGTACGCATCTATTGAACTCTCTATACTAAACCCAGCAAAAGTGTGTCAATTAAACATAACATGCCGACATGTCTTTTTTTTTTTTTTTTTTTCAGAAGATCACTTCTTTTTTGAATACAAGTGTTATTTTGTATTGTTATCATCTCACCGCCAATATTTCATAAGATTTAAATTGAAATCAGTAGAATACTAAAATAAAAAATGAGCTTAATTTTTTACCAAATAAAAATGGAAAATAAGTGTAATTATGTGATGAATGAAGGTGATCAATAAAAGGGAAAATGAGTGTTCTGTAGTGTGAAATATATTTTAAAAGAAAAAAAGGGAGAAAATAAAGCTCTGGGTTTTGGACGTAGATTTAGAAGAAGAGAAGGAAAAAACTGAAATTGTAGAAGAGTATAAGAACAAAGAACGAAGAAGATGGATGCAGGGGAGAGGACCGTGTAATATAATATTGACTTTTTCTCTGTGTAATATTTGACTTGAAGATGAAAAATATGTGAAAGTTCTAAATTTTATTTGGACATAAGTTTCCTTTGGAAAAAATACATCTTCTAATCAATAATACTATATTTCCCTTGAAATTCAGTATTTCTAAATTCTTACTATCTACTAGTAGTATTTATTACATGCTGGTGTGTAGAGTTGTCAAAACGGGCCAACCCAACCCAAGCCTCGCGAGCTTTTAAATTTGGTGGGCTAGGACGGGATGGCCCGCCACATGAACGGGCCTTAAAATGGCCTGCCCAACCCAGCCCTAAGAGGGCCGCGGGCTAGGGCGGGCCGGCCCTTCAGTTTTTTTTTTAAGAAAAAAGAATTTATTTAAATCCTTAAATATTTTTTCGTGACATATCTGATTAATCATGTAAATAACTTCATTTGCTTAGAGCGTAAAAAATGCTTGATATTTGATGAGGAATCTCGTAATTGAAACGCAAATTCTCTATATCTCTAACTCTTCTTTTTTAAAGTTACATGAATATTTTCTTAATGTTTTTCTTTCATTATCCTCAGATTCATGGATCGCTTCAATAAGTTTAAATGCTGAGGTTTTTTAATTTAGGATTAATATCATTCGTTGATTTCATCATTATAGTCCCTACAATTTTTAAAATTCCTGAAATTTGCTAGTGGTAAATTATTTTTATTTTTTTTGGTGTATTCAAAATTGATCTTTTTCTATACTAAAGAGCAGTTTAAATATTAATAGTATATTAAAGTAATCTGAACTGATCATTGGCCACTTAAAGTAATATTTTCTTTTGACAAATAATTATTACTGGCCAACTAAAACTTTTCGAATTCGCTTTTAATTAAGCAAAAGAAAAATTAATTTTGTCATATTACATGCATGTCAAAAATCTAAATTCTAGTTGATATCGAAGGGTAAATGAGCAATCTAGGGTTGGGGAATGAGTTAATAGTTTTTTTTAGTTTTTACTTTTTTAAATATTAAATATTTAATTAATTTGTTTATTTTTAGCCCACGGGCCGGCCCAAGCCTAGCCTCGATCAAGCCTCAACGGCTAGCGAGCCGAGTTGGCCCGGGCTTATAAGCCTCGGTTTTAAATGGGCTCAAAAAATCCTAGCTCAACCCTACCTAAGTAGCAAGCTGGGTTGGGCTGGCTTCACGGACTAAATCCATTTTGACAGCTCTACTGGTGTGGAAATAATTTGAGTTTCGTACTATGAAATCATTACTCTTAACTATTTCACAGTATGTGAAAACAACAAAAAGCTGGCCAACCTTGGGGACAAAAATATAGGGAAAATTATAGTATATAGCCGCTTCAAAAACATAACAGCCGTTAATATATATATATATATATATATATATATATATATATATATATAAAAATAAAATTATTGTATAGGTCACGAGTTCGAGCAATGAAAGCAGTTTGTAATGCTTACATTAGAGTAGGCTGTCTACGTTATACTCCTAGGACTGCGGCTCTTCCCCGAATCTTACGTGAATGCGGATATCTTGTGCACCGATTACCTTTATTTTTGATCAATATATAATTTTTATGTATTTAATTAATCAATATAATTATTTTTGACCGACCGACCAAATATGTTACTTGCCCAAAAATGCACCGGACATAAATTATTGATGGGCGAGTGTGGACGGGGTTATTTGACACGTGATACATACGAGGATTTGCCTGGTTTGTGGTCCACATGTTAATGTGTCCTGTCTAGGAAATAATATGAATGCAGAATATGAAACATTAAAACATTAAAACATTATTTCGCAATGTCTAACGAGTTCAAAGTGAAAAAGGGGATCTTAAAGTGAAATGTAGCATAAGCGGAGTGAGGATTCCAAATTTTAGAAGACAACTTAATTATTGATAAAGTATTTATATGTACAAAGTTGATTTTTTAATATAAATATAAAGTTTGAGCCAAAGCTATTGAATTCTATCGAACTCGTGAGTAGAACAGTAGCTCCTTTCTTGATAGTTAGAGAGGACATCCCTATTAAGTTGTATATATGAATTGCATATTATTAATGTATAATTGTAAGTTGTTGTTTTATTATATAAAACTTGATATATGTAATTTTTCATAGGCGGGTCTAAAATTTTTAGACCTTTATATTCTTATTACTGAACTCATTACAATTTTTAAATCATAGGTTTATACTTCAGTAGGTTTGCTCTCCCACAAACACACACTATGTATCAAAAATATTGTGTTCAATTGAATTAGTGAACTTGCTACGTTCGTCACTAGAATTTGTTTACCCAAGAAATGAGTAACAATTAAATGTATAAGCAATTTAAAGGATACGTGGTTTAATTCAATACGAATAATTATGAATAACATGTAAATGAATTAAAGACAAAATAAACTATCAAACCAATCGCAATGTAATGACCAAGTCTGATCTTAGATTGAACAGTGGAACTCGTCCTCGATTGGACCCTCAATTCAAGCTCGGTCGCGAGTGAAGAAAAGAACAAATGAGTAATGCCTTGAACAATAACTATTAACTAGAAGACTAAAGTAAACTTTTATTGCTTTGGATTCTTGTTTTACAATGTGTCAGACTAAAGTAAACTTTTATTGCTTTGGATTCTGTTTTACAATGTGTCAGACTAAAGAAAAACTTCCCATTTATATAATAGGAAAATTTCAGTCCTAGTACAAGTATTAAAAGGGTGAAAATCTTCTTTTCCCGGTAATTGTTGGTCTATAATTGAGACTGAACGGGATCCGCTCTGTAATATCCGGTTGATGGCGAATATTATGGCCCCCTATCCATCATGCATAACTGTTCTTCGCGTCTCACGAGGTCCAGAAGCTATACTTGGTCCGGGGTACGTCGCTTTACCATATTCGATCTTAGATACATCGTGCATTCTCTCTGGGTCTCGATATGAGGGGTTCCTGGCCTCGCTTAGAATCACGTTGAACCGCGCTTCCCCTTCGTTCTCTCATTGGGAAATCGGGGATAATTTTACCCTTGATTTTATCCGCACACATAATTATCTGTTATTATAGGTTAATTCAACATAATATTATCAAATTCTAACTTTATTCATCATTAGAGTCGCATATAATATTAAGTGGGCGTTTGGACCAGAGGCGGACCCAGGAT